GTTTGCTCAATCGGTACACGCTAAGTTCTGCTTACTCCAGGTGAGTCGATCGTACTCACTTTCGTCCGATGTATCGAGTTGTCAAAAATTGAGTATACAAGAAATGTCAAACTGAGTAAAAGCCTCTCAGTCAGCAAAATCCTGGATTTGGAAAAAAAAACCTCATAGAAAATGTTACTCAAAACCAGCTGAAATGCCTTCAGGCAAGTACGAATTGCTTAGGGAAACGGTGTTGAACCGTTTTTTGCTCCGGTTGAATGAATCCGGAACAGGCAATTTCCATTTCCTTGAATAAAAATCAAAACAAAAACACTCCCCGCAACTGAAAATACCGGCGAGTGGAACGTAAGAACGTAGTTTACTCAAAAGTGAGTCAACATAAGGCTACTCAATTTTGAGTAGCCATACTTGCCGCTGAGATGAGTACATTCGACTCAATTTTGAGTTGACCAGAATAAGCGTGTAGATCAAATATGTACCGAGACCTTATTGGAGGGATTTATGGCTAATCGATATATTCTCGATCAACTACGAAATGTTGCATTACATTGGTGCAAAATTGTGCAGTACGTTTTTGTGTGTGTATTTTTTTTTAGCGTTTTGAAGTTGAATCACTGTGGAAACCTTATTTCTGATCAATCTCAGTAACACATAAAAATTTCAAGAGAACAAATCGACAGTGAGCATGCATAAGGGCGTATATGTGATGATCGATTCTCTTCATCGATTTTATCTTTGCATTGATACAGCTAAGCGAAACAATTCAAGACTTTGTTCAATGCAGAATTGTAACAGGTTGTATTGGCTATCAAAAGCAACAGCAAACGCACCGGGAAACGTTTATTCTAGCGAGTTATTAACAAAAGAGAAAATCGACGAAGAGAATCGATGATCTCGTTTACGCCCTAATGCATGCTGCTCACTGTCGAAATACCAGCTCTCCCAAAACGTATAACAAAGAAACTGGAACTTCACGTTTGCTGCAGTGCAGTACGCAAGGAGTATCTATTTCAAGAGTGATGTGACAACAGTCCATGATTTGTTCCCTAGAAATCTTGAAGTGATAGGGAAAATCAGCCATCATATGACGGTCATTGTTGGACGCTTCAATGTTAGCAAATAATAGAATGTGCACAGACAAACAGACATAACAGTCGCAAGTTGTTCATCGAACAAGAATTTAACGGTCAATTTAATAGTAACTTAGTTGGTAGTACCGCCACCTGTGGCGCGCATAGTCAATTCCCTTGCGTTTGACGTTTACACACTACCGCCATCTGTTCAGCGTACTACCCACCACACTGTGCTCAACAGATGGCGGTAATGTTTTAGCGACGATGTTTTACATTGAGAAATATTCAATGTGTTATGTCTGTTTGTCTGTGGAATGTGTATTCGCATTTGTATGAGGTCCAGAATTTAACCAAGTTTTACTAAGTAGGAAACCCAAAATATGTACATTGTTATCATTGTACATCGCATTAGTATTTCGTCCGCTAAAAGTTTACTCGTTTGACTAAAGTTTTTAATTTATTTGTTCAACGTTGAACGATTATCTGTTGCTAAATTGTGGAGTTCGCCAAGAAATAGCTGTTTTAAACGTTTCCGAAGGATTTAATTCCAAACCGCATTTCTGTTTTCGTGCTGGCGATATTGTTTGTTGCGGCTCATCAAATTTTGTTTGTTCGCTGTGAACATGGAGAAAAAACAATGCGGAGAATGCAAAATGGAAATAAATGAAATCGAGCCGTTGCGCTGCGGCTTTTGTGAGATTTACCTCCACATCAGCATGCAGTGTTGTGTTTTCAACCTCAGCCGTGCGAGTAAAGAACTATTCTCGCAAGGCAAGGCTTTATTCGTTTGCTCGACTTGTCGGGCTAAACTGAATGGTAGAAGTGTGAACTCGTATCTTGCTGATGAGCTCTCGCAAAACACGAACTCCAATGATGGGTTGCCGGCCCAGGTTCAACAGCTGTTCAAGTTGGTTGAATCGTTGAGTGACAAAGTCGACAAGTGCATTCCCATGGATACTCATGCTGAGAGACCATCGCATCGAACAAGGAATGGAAATGCATGGCCGCAACTGGGTGTTAAACGTCGTCGTGGTAACGAAGGCGAGCCGATTATCACTTCTTCTGCACGTGGGACCAATGCTATTGATCTCAGTGACGTGTCTGTGCCATGTCTGACACCACCGACCTCTGCCCCAAAATTTTGGCTCTACCTGTCAGGATTACACCCGCAAATAACTGTAGAGGACATTCAGAAAATCGCCACTCGCTGCATGAATTTAACAACACCTGCTGAAGTTGTGCGTCCCAAGGAAGCTGATATGACGAAGCTGACTTTCATCTCCTTCAAAGTCGGCTTGGATCCTTCTTTGAAAGAACTAGCTCTCGACGCTTCAACGTGGCCTGATGGAATTCTATTCCGTGAATTCATCGATTATTCAAAAAACCAAACCGCATCCAACAGCAATGCATTGACAACGATTTAAGGCGCTCTCTCGTGGACGGTGGAGGCCCTAAGGTTGACACCATCATCGATACTCATTCATTGCGACTTTCTTTGGACGGTGGAAACTCTAGGGTTTCCACCAGAGGTGAGTATCGGTCACCATTCGACATCATTATTTTAATCGAGACGGGGCTCAATGACGCTATCAGTTCGACGCAGCTTTTCGGAAGCAACTACAATGTGTACCGGTGTGACCGAAACCATATGAATAGCAGCAAATCTGGTTATGGAGGAGTTTTGATTGCGGTGCATCATCGTTTTATAAGCAGCAGTATCGCTGTAACCAGCGGAAAAACATTAGAGCAAGTGTGTGTATCGACGATGATTGGTTCCAAGCGGCTACTGCTGTGCGCTATATATGTCCCTCCGAACAAAAGCAACGATCGCACTGTACTAGATGCGCATATTCAGTCGATCCATGAGCTGCATAACAGAGGTTCTGACAACGAATGCATGCTGGTCTGCGGTGACTATAATCAACCTGGAGTGTTTTGGAACTGGTCTGACGGCGAAATTCGACCTGTGAACTCTGTGCCATTACCAATTGCTAGCTCCCTACTGATTGATGGTATGGATTTCCTCAATTTGCATCAGATGAATCTCGAGCGCAACCACTTGGGACGCATTCTCGATTTGCTCTTTTGCCCTACGGATTTTGCTATGGAAATCTCAAGATCTGTGTCACCACTTTTGCCTGTCGACCTTCATCATCCACCGCTTGTTGTCTGCTTACCATCTCTAATAGTCAATGGTGCAGCTGCATGAGGAGAATCTTCTTTTTCTTTATTTAACGTCGGTCTCTGTTCCGCAATCTAGTGCCAATCACCGACGGACATCGATTGCCATCCATTGACGGCAACCGAATGTGCAGGAAGGCAGCTTCCACACCTGCATAGGATATCGCACCCATTCACAACACACATGGGCCGGGACCAACGGCTTTACTTCCCTTCCGAAGGAAGACGTGACCAGAGATTTTTATGCATCAGAAAAATCCCACCGACCTCGGCTGGGATTGAACCCAAACCCATCGGGGTGTTAGAAAGCAGTCACGCTTACCACTACACCACCGGCGCCGGCTCATGACATGAGGAGAATGACAGTGATGGAATTGCGTTAGACTACAACAAGATTGATTTCGATGCTCTATTGGATTTCCTGTCGAGTATCGACTGGGATATTCCTTTTGATGGAATGAATGCTGCTGAAATGGGTGAAACGTTGTGCGTTATGCTAAATGATTGGATGGATGCAAATGTACCGATTCGTCGACCTGCTGTTTTTCCTGCCTGGAGCACTGCATTGCTACGAAAACTAAAACGCTAACGAAATGCTTAGCAACGTAGATTACGGCGATTTCGTTCTCTGGCTAATAAACGTAGCTTTCACTTGGCGTGTAACGAGTACCGTAAGCTTAACTCTTCGCTCTACAAATCGTACGTTTTACGTGTGCAAACTAACCTAAGACGAAACCCCAAGAGCTTTTGGAGGTACGTAAACTCTAAGAGGAAAAATTCTACTATACCGGCAACCATTTTTCTCAATGATGTTGAAACATCGATAAGCGACGAGAAATGTGAGCTCTTTGCTGCTCATTTTTCGTCAGTATTTGTCACAGAATCTGTCGACTCGGCTGAACTTGCCTCTGCTATTTCGGATATTCCTGCGAGTCTTGTAGACGTGGATACCTTCGAAGTAACGCCCTTAATGGTAACTATTGCCGCGAAGAAAATTAAAAGCAGCTTCATGCCTAGACCAGACGGCATTCCTCCTGTAGTGTGTTTCGAACAACTGGATAATGGGGCGCAAGTAGACGTCATATATACGGACCTAAAAGCAGCGTTTGATACGATCAACCATGATATTCTGTTGGCTAAGCTATCCAAACTCGGCACATCAAATCGGTTGACATCGTGGTTTTGCTCGTACCTGACTTGCAGGTCTTTGCGAGTTAAACTTGATTCCAGTACTTCCTCGTATTTTACGAACTCGTCGGCCATACCACAGGGTAGCAATCTTGGCCCGTTGTTGTTTCTTTTATTCTTCAACGACGTATTGCTTGTACTTGGAGATGGTTGCAGGCTTGCGTATGCCGATGACCTAAAGCTGTATTCCGTGGTGCGATGTACTGAGGATTGTATTCGTCTTCAATCGTTAGTTGGTGCAATCGGAATAGGCTTACCGTGAGCATATCAAAATGCATGGTAATGTCGTTTTACCGCATCAAGCAGCCGATTATTTTCGATTATGCCATCATGCTACAACTTCTAAATTTAGCTATTCAAAGTTGAAATCCGCAATTAATGCGTACCAATAAAAATATAATCATCCGACCTTATCACCTAATCTGTGCAATAATGTTGTTTTGACTAGAAATGAGGAATATTACGCCCCAACTGCTACTGATTAGAAGTACACCATTCCGCGTCAGTCGGCCTTCACAATCGACATTTAACTAATCCTCCCCCGTCTTTGTTTTCCAGGTGACGCCTCCTCCTCGACGGTCCAGATCGAAACCCTCCCGTGCACCAAGTTCAACTCGATCTGCCAGGCCAATGTGATCCTAACGCGACGGCTGGAAGCCGGCCGGTACTACGACTTCCAGGTTTCGGTAAAGGACACCAAGGGTGGCATGTCGATACAAAGCTGTTCGATCACCGCCACCAACTTCACCACCCCACATGACCTGATTTTCCCACACAAAACCGGCATCATCATGGTACCGGAGGTAAGTACCCCCTCTCCCATCCACAGTCTTGTTGTTTAGGGTTAGCGTACAAGATAAGTTCCCCCTCAAAGTCGGTCAGCGCGAATAAATTTTCCCAGGCGAAAACAATGCAACTCGAGCCTGGAAGCGATCTTTCAAGTACAACCAGATTCCCATAATCGGTGTTTGATCTCGAACCACAACCACAGCATGGCACGCCTGGACTCCGGTAGCCATAAATATTCGCATTTTGCGCGTGCCTCTCATCTTCCAAGTGAAAAAAAAAACGATTCGATTTATAACAATATGAGCGGAGTGAGAATGGTTGGATAGAATGGGACTGTAAATTCCAGCACCTTGGACCAGGTGTGCTCGATCGTTGCGGATTCGAAGAAGACGCACGCGCCTCCAATCGGTCCGTAGCATAATTAGATTAAATAAAACATAAATTTATTTATCTGGAACGAAACAACAATCGACGATTTATCCATTCTTGGATGCCGTTTTTTTTTTTTTATTGCACCACCAGTCGAAGCCATTGGCCAATGCCAATGGAGGTTTGGTGTTAATCCGAAACGAATGGATACACGTTGATCTGGAGCCCAACGTTGTAGAATCATATTTATGGCTCCATAGTTCTCGCTGGCACCGACCGCCTTGCGCCTTGTTCAATGAAGTTCTGTGTGAGTGTGTTACCGCGAGAAATCTCGCTGAACAGATCTGGGAAGGCGGAAAGGAGGCTACGGGAAAAATGAGATTGTTAACACTTTGTTGAACATGGTACACAATGAAAAAAAAAAAAAAACAGCTAGGTAATAGTCGACCTAGCCTGGATAAGACGGTTTCAAAGAGTCCAGCCAGCCTCCATGTCAATGTCGAATGATTAGCCAAGGTGCTTCTGAAGATCGCTCGCTAATGGACCCCGATGCTCTTCGTACATTGTACCGCCCCGTAAATGGGTGAACAGAACAGCTTTATGATCGATTCCGTTGGTCCAGTGCAATGCATCAATGTCCACCGCCACAGCCCGTCATCTTCCACGAGCACGATCAAGATCTGAAAAGGCCTGCGAAAGTCCCATGATCGCAATCGCGATCGCACTGCACTGCCCTCTTCCTCCATCCTCCATAGGAAAATGCCCCTCGATCTCTGCAGAAAGCTAACGGTAACGCGATGCCCTTCTTCCTCTGCTCCATCGGATCGCTCCGATGTGTACATATCTCACGGACAATTGCAAATAAATAATAATCATAATGAATAGAACAAAGCCCATCATCGTCGCCTGGAGCGCGCCCTCGCCCGAGTCCGGACCGTATTGGAAAATATGATCTTACATCTGGCACCACCGCCAACAGCCCGGTCCGTGGTCTATGGATGATAAATAGTGACCGGGACGACGCAAGCCGAAGAACGCGGAAGAAGTTCTTGTTGTTGAGGCTGTGAAAATTCATGAGACACGCCATGGCCGGACGAAAATGGTGACTTTGTCCCCGTTGTTGTTGTTGCTGTTGTCGTCGGTTGTAAATTGTGCCACATGGGCTATTTCGCCTTTTAGGGCTCTGCCTTTGCACCGCTCTTGGAGGTTATGTCGTCAGTGCATACAGGAAGGGCGAGTTCGTAAACGTGATGTCCAATTTTGCCCAGTCGCCGGGCATGTTTTTGGACACAGGAAAAGTTCAGCCGATGGACGGGAAAAGTATGCCGCATTGGAGAAATATAGCCGGTTGTGGAATTTATTGTCCCGCAGCTGGGCTGAAATGAAATGCATTACTAGGATTTTAGCAAAAATGTCAATCGAAATGAAAAAAAGGTCCTATTTCCTTCTAATTATTCATCGTGGTTTTCATCTATGATGGAACATGGCAGAAGTCCTACCGGCTCACACGAAGAGTTATGTTGTCCATTCCTGATACTCCCATAGGGCAAATGCGTCACGATTTTCCTTGTTGGCTGGTTCAGAGTTGTGCACCGGTGGGTTTCATTGGACTTTGCTCGTAAATTAAGTAACGTTCATGTGAGGGAGGAAATGGCGTTCAGGATTTATGACTATCCATTACTGCAGTCGAAGCAGATATTTTGTATGTTAAAATAACATTATAATAGGCACAGATGATTGCCTCGACATACCTCATCCATATCTCAACATGGTATGGGATGAAAAAAGGATTCAAAATGACACGTAATTAAAGGCTGCCGCATAATAATTATGGCAAAATAGTTTATATTAAGCAAAACAAATGGTTAGAATTGAATGGCGATGGTTTCATCTTGTTCAGAGCTAAGGAAGAATCCCATTTTGAAAAAAAAAATTGATAAATTATACAGTAATCATCGATTTTTTTTTAACAATACTGAACCCATATCCACACAAAGAAATGACTGGTTAGACAGCGAATTCAAACTGTTAGTAGAGGAGAAGAATGCTGCAACACCGCACGAGATTGAATGGGGAGCGCCAGTAGGAAAGCCGAGGAAGAAGCGTCAGCAGGAAGGCCGAGATCACGAGGCAACCGCATAAAGGACACACGGCTACGTGCCGCAAGCCGACATGTGCAAGGACTTGGACGGTAACCTTCTCACGAACGAGTGTGAGGTGATTGAGAAGTGGAAGCAGTACTATGACGAGTATCTCAACGGTGATGCAGCAGAAAACGGTGGTGGTGGCACGGCAACAGACCTTGGAGCACGCGCAGAAGACGACAGGCTACCAGCCCCTGATCTTCAAGAAGTTGAGGAGGAGATCGGTCGGCTGAAGAGCAACAAAGCAACTGGTGTAGATCAACTACCAAGTGCCGCGAATACAACGTGCCCACACGTCATTTCTTCGTCGATTTCAAATCCGCATACGACACAATTGATCGAAATCAGCTATGACAGATTATCCACGAGAAAGGATTCCGGATAAACTGACGCCTTGACCAACGACGATGGATCGAATGATGTGTGTTTGAATATCGGGAACACTCTCGAGTCCCTTTGAATCTGGAAGGGGGTTACGGCAAGGTGATGGATTTTCGTGTCTGCTATTTAACATCGCGTTAGAAAGAGTGATCAGAAGAGCTTTTTGGCTTCACCGATGACATCGACATCATGGCATGGAACTTTGAGGCGATGGCGGAAACATACATCAGACTGAAGGCTGAAGCTAGGCGGATCGGACTTGCCATCAACGCATCGAAGACGAAATACATGAGAGGAAGAGGTTCTAGGGAAGACAATGTTAGCCTCCTACCCCGAGTTCAGATTGACGGTGACGAAATTCAGGTGGTCGACGAGTTCGTGTATTTGGGCTCACTGGTGACCGCCGAAAATGATACCAGCAGAGAAATTCAAAGATGCATTACGGCAGGGAATCGTGCCTACGTTGGACTAAAATTCGCCGCCGCACGAAGTTGACTATCTACAAGACGCTGATTAGACTGGTGGTCCTCTGCGGCCACAAGACTAGGACTATGCTCGTGGAGGACCAACGTGTTTTCGAATGGAAGGTGTTACGTGTCATCTACGGTGGAGTGCAGATGCATGACGGAATGAACCACGAATTTCACCAGCTGCTGGGAGAACCATCCATCGTCCACATTGCAAAAACAGGACGACTACGGTGAGCTGGGCACGTGGTAAGAATGCCGCACGATGACCCAGTTAAAATGGTTCTAGAAAGCGACCCAACAGGAACAAGAAGCAGAGGCGTGCAGCGGGCAAGGTGGATCGACCAAGTAGAATGCGACCTGCGGACCCTTCGCAGACTACGAGGCTGACGAAGTGTGGCCATGGATCGAGTAAAGTGGAGACGACTTCTTCGGACAGCAGAGGACAAGATGGCCTTAGCCCGATTGGTAAGGTAAGTATATGCCCTGCACTATAGTAAAAATGCCTGGGGAACCGAATGCATGGAAATCATCTTGTACAGACCTTAGTAATTGTCCATTTTGCCCGATTTTCCCCACATACATAATACACTAGGTGTATCAGGTGGCGTCCATAAATTACGTAACGCTTCCCCCTTTAAGCGAGGGGTCACCTCTATTGCTAATAATTGCTACATAGGGGAGGGGGAGTAAGGCTTTGCGTTACGTAACAAAGAGAAAAATAAATAAATAGAACGATTTTTTGTTTTTTTTTATAAGTAAAGTTTGAATACGTACGTCAAAAATTCATCACATCAAATTGTTTGCAAAATAGATGTGTTTTAATTTTCTATCTTGATTTTTTGTTTACTTTCGTTAAACTTTTGCATTTAACTCAATTTTAAGGAATAACAACATACAGTGTAAAAACTAAATTTTTGGGTAGTTTTATTTCTCCGTGCAGCTGTCACAAGGCCAGTGCTTGTAGAGTACTGTTTGTTTACCTATTTCCTATTAGGAGTTTGAATGATCGATACGCATCGCGCTAGTGCAGGTTGTTTTCCATGTGATCGTTAAAGTGTGAGAAAATGGATCGAAACCAGCTTTTCCAGCAATTCTTTGGCAGTGTAGTGAAAGCCAACCCATCCAAAACAAAAAGTAGGCACAAGAAGTCCTCAGTTCTTACTTATTGAGCAATGGAATGAGCTTTAAAAACAGGATCCCAAAGAGTTTAAATCGTCGGTTTTAGCCAAGAACTTCAGAACTCCACAAGAGAAGCATGGGTCGAAAAGGAAAGTTGCTGCAGTTCTGGGTAAAAGCTGGCACGAGTAAACAAATCCCAGAGAACTCCTCAGTGACAGCAGTGATTGGAGACAGTTAAAAACCCACGGAAAGTGCAGACAGCACTCATGTGCTCGAAAATTCGGTGAAGCGCCCAGCCGAGCGAGCGCCGGCACAAGAGCTATTGAAAAACGATTTATTGCGAATCTGTGACGAGATTGTAAGAAAATTTGGTGATATATTAAGTTATTTACCGTATGCGTGATAATGTTTGCACCATCGTACACATAAGGTTCCCGTTTCACCTATGCATACAATGCCTTGGTTTTCTTTGCATGCACGTAACCTATAGCTCATACCGTACACGGTAAGAAAAAAGTACCCAACGAAAAG